TATTGTCAGCTGGTCTTGTGCGGGACAGGGCTTTGTGTCAGGCAGGTCAGCTGGGGCTCGAAAGCTAGGACGGCACCCCGCCCATACACACCACCCCCTGCCTGCACACGCTCTTTTGTGCCGACACAGAAAAACATGCAGCCAATCAGACATAAGACTAGATGGAAGTATGCATTCACACACACTCACACCCTCCCATCCCATCTCACCAAAGGTCTTAAATCACACTGTCCACTCAAAAGATGTGAGGTCAGACCATTTGTACCACTTATTATAAACTTTGCAATGATTTTCAAATCACTTCAATATTTGCATCAAATAGCAGTGAAATTGACTAATTCTCTCTAGCAAGTGAGTGGGTACATAAAAGTGAAATGGCAGGATCATTGTCCAGACAAAACAAGCTTGGGGGATGAATGGAACTAATCGAGGAACAATGGCAGTCAGCTGTGAGCGGTGCTGCCGAAAAAGATTATGATGGAACTACAGAGACACTGTATATTATTTTATTACTCGGTGAAAGGACTTGAAAAACCTTGGTAAAAAGTTTCAGACAGTATGATGTAACATGATGTAAATTGTAGTGCAATTCTGTCTGTACATGTTGAAAGATCCCAGTATAAGGTAGATTATGCTGCTTCCCACAGTTTGTTATTAGCTGGACTTTAACAAACTGATTTCTATATAGATTTTTGTTGGATGATATCAATGAATCAGTAGTGTCCTATCTGTAGACACATGATAAAGCTGTCTGTTTCCTTCACATTAAGAGAACGTATAACTTTACTTGTGACAAAAATGGGGTGTAAGATTTACACTTGTTTTGTCAGCAGCAGAGCCGTATCTTTTCTGTTGTTGTTGTTTGTTCATTTGGAACACAGTACCTTGTATATTTTCCTGTCTTGATGTGTGATTGTATTTTATCCACAAGGTGTTTTGTCAACAGTGTGTACTCTGTGGGATGCTGAATGCTCCACTGCCTTAGAGAGATTTGCACTCCAGCAATGAGACTGTGCAAAAGTGTGCGGACGTGTAAAAGTGTGTGTGAGAGTGAGTCTGTGTGTGTATGTCTGAACAAAATGCAGGACGGTGGTAAATCACTATAAAACTGAGGCTCTCCAGCCTTCTCATTGTGAGGACTAGTCATTTATTTAACACTCAAATATGGTCCTGGGCTGTTTGGGGAGAATACATCAACCGGCACACAAGAGTCCACACAAAGAGCGGCACACTTCAACAGACAAAGAGCGAAGAGAGAGAGGGCAAGCGCCTTTTTTTCTCCTTCAGATGAAGTGTTGTTTGTTTGTCATGGTGGGTGCAGGGCACCGAGTGGGACGGATGGATGGAGGGAGGGACTGATGGAAGAAGGGAGGGAGAGAAGGGGGGCGTGAATAGTTATTACACAGTGAATCGATGCACAAACGGAGGGTGTCTGTGGGTGATAGTGGGGATAGGAGGGGGGTACATGGGGGGGTGTAAAAGATCTTTTGTGAAGGCTGGGAGTTAATCACTTGAGCGGCACACGCCGGTTCTATGGGAGCACATGTTGTACACTGGGTCCCCTGGGGGGATCAGGAGGTCCACACACACACACACACACACACACACACACAGAGCTGAATTTACATGTCAGTTATAATGCAAAGCTGGGCACAGGCCGACTAGAAAAGCAGAAGACCCACCCCCTCCACAGAACAGTTAGCAGACCATCCTGGCCGTACTGATAGTGTGAGCTTTGCATTTGCTGTTGGTTCATTCAAGGACATACACACACAGACGTACACACATGTCTGCCTGTTCAGTTTCTCCAGGACTGGATAGATGACTCTGCAGGGGCCTTGCTAGAGATGGATGCGTAGTTTGAACAGGCAGTAAGTAAAATCTATTGTCTCATTACTTTAGTCCCATGTCAGTGGTGGATGCTAATATCTGAGAGTGATAGTGAGGGCTGGAGTTTAGGTTTAGCGGCAGACATCCCGGCACAGTAGAGTAGAGCCAGTCACAGCAGTCATATCTGTTTACATCAGTGGCACAGTGGACTGCTTTGCTTTGTGCTCTTGCAGGTACAAATTTAACATCATATACCACTACTTAACATTTTCAGTAGCTGTTTACTTTGGAGAATATATTTTGAAAGTTATCCCGCATGAAACAGAAAATCTGTACTAAAGGTGTGCCGGAAGACCTTCAACTGATTTCTTGCAATTTAACATTATCTTTCTTTTGCACTATTCAACTTAAATAGACTATCAGCTTTTCATTCTGCCAGAGCAACCATTCAAACCTCCCTTTGTTCTTCTGTATTCATTCAATCTCACTTGCTGTCTGTCTCCTCATCGTGAAACATCTATTTTATACATGTCTCATCTAGCTTATCATTGTTTTCTGGCCGATGAAAAGTGACAGCCTTGATCAGCGCGCCCGCCTTCATTCAGCATTTTCCTCTTCAAGCATGCCCATCATACACGTCAGGAAAATGACACTGACAGCTATGTGTATCCTTACAAACAGCACCGTGCAACCAATAATTATGGATTAGCCTCAAGCCAAATGCAATGTACACTAATATGTTACTTACGGCAGGCCATTACTCCCATGCTTTGTTGGTGTGGCCATTATAAAATGCTTAAAGGCTGTGGACCAGGTGGTTAGGGAAGCCCACAGGCCTGATCAGCCAGTATGGAGCCCTTTGCTACTAAGTCAATACTGAGGGGACTTTTCCCCTGTGGGTTAGAGATCATGTGTAGTAACATCTGGGGCCTGGTTGTCTTCAGAAGGGAGGTGGGGACAATAAATGGAGAGCATCACTAGTACCTCTGTGAATAAAAGTCAATGTATAATAAGTGAGAATGCTGAAACAAATCATGTTCTGTGTGCTTATTTAAATCTTTATTTCATAATTGCAGCCCACACTATATTAAAACTTTATATTTCTGTGTGGTCTGTGGTATGTTCAAGTACAATAGCATATAGAAAATGGTTTTATGGTGTTAGATGGCAGCACCGGCCCAGTGTTGAGTAGGCCGTAAGTAGCCTAATTGCCGGTTTGTTAAGAGGATGGGCACCCAAAGGGTTATTTGTCAAATTCAACGGCCAAGCCATAAATCTAGACACCCAGCCAGGCAGAGAGCCAAGATGGACTGTTTTTTCACTTTGTTTGTTTTGCAAATGTTAACACACCTGCTTCAACACTGCATTTCTGCACTGAACAGGAAACTATAAAATTAAACAGCACTAAAAAACTGATAAGATTCAGAAGAAATTATGACATGACATTGTCCTTTCATGAAAAAAATCTTCTGTTAATAGATCAACAGATATATTTTTTGTGTTTAATGTCTTTATGCTCCCTTTCTTGATTTACAGATGGCGCCACTGACAGTACTTCTTTGGGGTCATGAGTTATGTCTTCTATTCACTTCTGTGTAACTTGACCACCTGGACACCATCCCCACCATCACCTATGCCTGCAGGACCATGGGTAGTGTCAGCAGCCTCATCAACGGCAACAGCCTCAACAGCAAACACTGCAAGGCGTCTGACTATAAGTTAAAAAAGGGAACAAACCACCATAGAAAGAGTGGAGGCTGCAGCCTGGACGGGTTACTTAAGTGCGGCTTTACTCAGGACTCCTCTTCTTCCACTCATCCCACTAAAGGCCTGTCCCACACCCGGTCGGGACGAAGTGAAGATTTTTTTTACATCAAGGTAAGCTCAGGTGACATCAGATGGCATCAAAATTAGGGTTTTTAATTCTTAACATACATTAAACTACACACTGTATACAATATTAATGTATAAAATGTTTATCCTGTTCCAAATAAGGTGAGCCACAAACCAAGGTCGGTGTACCACAAAGGAGAAGCAATGGGAGATCACACAAATGAAAAGAAGAGAGATGGTGAATCAGATAGGCGACTGCAACCAAAACTGCTGCTCATGTCAGGGAAAATGACTGAGAGGGTGAGCAAAATGCCCGCTATTTCTTCTCTCGTGCTTTACCCAAAACACAAGACTGGATTTTAATGGAATAGTTTTTGGGAAACATCTATATTTGCTTTCTAGTTAGATGAGAATATTAATGGCAAACTTATATCTGTACAGTAAATAAGCTAATAGGATGGATTAACTAGCCTGGCTCTGTGCAAAATAGGGTTGGGCGATATGTTGAAATTGCCAAATGGCCTCAACAACCAGTGATAGCTGATATATTTGCAAAGGTGTGTGTAGCCATGGGAAAAAATGGCAGGGGGAGTCCCCACTCCCCATACTACTGATAAGAAGACCCGTTAGTTTTTTTATTCCTGTCACAAGCAAACACAATGGTTTGGTTCCGTGTTTTTTAATACCCCATAGTTCAGCTGGGATATGTGTGGAAATATTCTTAGACCTATTTTCCTTATTAAAGAGAAAAATACAATCGTGTACCTTCTGAATTCAAGTTTCTCAAACTATGACCTTAACTCACCGTAAAACAAACTCAATTGAAACTCAACAGAAGCAAAATAAAACTCACCACAACAGTCATGGTCTTTCGAAATAAATCCTTAATTCACAGAGTTAGATGTGAAAATATTCTGTCTGTACACGCTGTATGCCACTGCATCTCTCGGCTGTTGCTGGTCTCTTTGTGCTACTGAGCACCGGCTCTTACTCATTCTTTGGAGGCAGACCATTGAATTAATAAAATAATGAAAATCACCCTAAAAAAATGTCTCCCAAAAAACAACCAACAATAGTCTCTGATAGTCGATATATATATTTGTCCAATAAAAACCAAAGTGTAAAAGCAACAGTTCACTCTCCAACGGAAGCAGTCGCCAGGCAACCAACAGACACTCCGTGAAGTTAGTGCTACCCAGCCAAGAAACTGGCTCGTAACCTCCCGTAAAATGCAAATGGTCGTTTTTACACAATCAAGATAAATCGCTTTTGCCATGCAGGCTAGCATTTTAGCCCTGTTTCCAGTCTTTATAATAAGCTAACAGTATCAATCTCCTCATACAACTCTTGGCAAGAAAGCCGATAAACACATTTCCCAAAATGTCAAACTATTCCTTTAAGAATATTAGTTTTATGTCCATTTTCATAGCCTCATAAAATGTAGCTTTGTGCTTCACTTATCTGTAGCCGTTGCTATGGTTATTTTACAACTATTAAGAAGTCATACTGCATAACTGCAACAGACTTTGAAAACCTCACAGCGAAGTTGAGGATAAAACATGCACAGCAGGTAGTTTAATTGGTAGCAGCCATTCCTCATAACCTGTGTTGAATCTTCCCAGCTTATTAATCACCCCCTCCCAGATTAATGACCTAAGAATGCCTTGATCTACTCAGAGAAGTCATTTCTGTGCCAAGAATACGTAGGCAAACTGAGTCTCTTTCAATAGGTCTTTATTCCTCAGGGGCAAGAGGGGGAGAAAGTAGAGGAATAGGAAGCAGCTTTAAAAGAGACACAGCAGAGAATAAGAGAGAAAAGAGAGAGAGATCGAGGGCCAAAGAGAGTTTGAGGGATAGAAAGAGAGAGAAAAAAAACAAGGAACGGCATACCAGTCATGAAGTCAGTGAGAAGGAATGCTGAGCTCACAAGCTTTACCTCTTACACTTCAGCAGTAGCTCATATTATTAATATCACAGAGAAGGGCTATTCATCTTCCCTCAGACAGCACATGGGGGAGAGATGTGGGATGCAGAGGGGAGGAGTCGAGGACAGAAAGGAAGAAAGCCATGGTACTGCTTGTGACGTTCTTGGACAGCACAGATGGGGCATGTGGAGTATAAGTTCATCTTTGAAATTAGTTTTCTCTTCTATGACATCCTAGTGAATTTTACTTGCAACTATTACGTCGTGTGGCTGTAATACTGCCAGCTTGCGCTATTCTGCAGGCTTCAGTGGCTCTATTTCTAATATGAAAAGACATGATTGGAAAAATATATCCCTTTCATTTGAACAAACTTCCAGCACATGACAATATTCATCTCTGTGAAAGCCAGTCATCATGATTTTCAAGTTTCAGAACGTGACCCCTCCTTGGCTCTTTGTAGTTACTCTCCACAACAGTAGAAAAGGGACTTGCTTTTTGCTATGCTGTCAGCTAAGAGCAGCCACAGAATATAAAAACAAAAATAGACAAGAGCACCCCTGACTGTGTGTCATTTCACTCTTCTAGACCTCTGCTGGGAAGTCATTGGTCCATTCCACTGCCTTCAAGCCTGTGATTCCCAGGAGCACGTCCTCCACAGAGCCAGGCCACAGCAGCCTGGACCACATCCTGTGTCCTCTGGAGAAAGCAAGGAGTCCAGACAATAGACATAAGCAAGACACCTTCTCAGGTTATTATCTATAATATACTGACCAATGCTGCCTGAAAATTTGATTATTCAGGTTGAATGACAAATTACAGCAAAATAAAATGTCATCTTTTATCTTTTCAGGGACTTTCTCCGACTCTGGACGTAACTCTATGTCTAGTCTGCCCACCCACAGCACCAGCGGCAGCCTAAGTGCTTCCACAGGCCCTGTCAGTCACAGTGATGGCAGCTCAGCTCCCGCAAACAGCCTCAGCAAGGGAGTACAACCCAATTTCCCTCCATGGGTCAATGGGAATAGCGCTAACCTTGACTGTAGCTACAGGCCTGGTTTAAACAGTGGGGGGTTGGCATCGAAGGTGAATGGGGATGCTGGCTCCCCACATTCTGCAGATGAGCCAAGTCCTCTCTCTGAAACTTCAGGTGGGATTCGGTCCCCTATTACTACTGATGAGTCACTGATTGAACGTTTGGAACAAAGGTTGCTGGAGAGAGAGTCGGAACTGCAGGAGCTACAGGTATCAAGCTGTCGCAAAAAAAAAGATCAGTATGTCTCATGAGTAGTTAGACTCTACAGCTATCTGTATTCTTAATGACATCTCTTCACCCTACTATAGGTGAGTTTTGAGGAGAAGGAAGCAGACACCTGCCAGCTGTTTGATGAAAGACAAAAGTACTGTGCTGAGGAGATGGAGGGGCTGAAGCAGCGATGCTCCACAAAGCTACGGCAAGTGTCCCAAATGGCTGCAAAAACCCAGCAATCACTCCAGCTGCAGGTCAGGCAGCTCCAGGTCAGCCCACCTTTTCTTTTTACCACTGGTTCATTATCAACCCACCAACCCTTCTCCCTTTCCAATGAATCAATTATGATACAGAGAGAAAAAAAAGAAATTAGCAGATGCATAGAAACTGAAAGTAAAGTAAAATGAGAAATACATTTTTCTTCAGGCAGAGAAGGAGAGGCTTCAGGAGGATTTCTCAAAGCTAAACCGAGAGAAGGATCTTGTTGAGCTCAGACTGAGGTCTTATGAGACAGAGAGCACACAGCTTGCTCCAACACTAGAGGAAACTCAATGGGAGGTGAGTCATGAGTCATATGTGTGATATCAGTTGGGTTTGAAACCTTGTAGCATACAACACAATCTGGTGCAACCTTGAAGGCTGCTGCTGAGGTGTGGGGACATAAAGTTAATCTGTCAGAGGAAAAAGCCACCATTTTGCCTCAGATTTGAAAGAAACGGTCATGAAAGAGTCAGAGACACCAACTTCCCTTATTCACATTTTTCTCAGTAGTTCACAATGCTGCCTTTTAACATCAGGGCCATTACGTACATGTTCTTGAATTCAAAATGTATTGCTTTGCTCTCACTATTGGTTCTTTCCACCCATATAGGTATAGTATCCCTAGCAACACACTTAGTTACCAAGAATTTGTGAGATGAGCAAATTGCTTCTGTGTGTTTGTGTGTGTATGTGTGTGTGTGTGTGTGTGTGTAATGTGGGGTTCACTCTGAGCCCACAGAGAATTATACCAACTCTGCAGTTCTACTCAACTCTAACTCTAAAGCTTTTTTAGCATCTTTCAGCTCATTGTTTTGGACAAACTGTAGCTTTTTCTGTTTTGGTTAGCTCTCATCAGACCCATTTCCAGCTATTTTCAGCAAACAAACAAAGTTAGCAAGTAGCTGGTAAGTTTAATTGAGCATTAACAGCTAAATAACCAGAGCTATAGCTAAGGAGTTGGTGGGTAACAAAATAAGCTAAAAGGAGAGTGGATATTGGACTTAGATTTGTCAGGTGGGCAGGAACAGGACTTCAAATAAATGCTAATGTTGCACTGTGTCTGCTGGATGTAACTAGACAATGGTTTGCTAAAAGTATGCCAACAACTTTATATCTTGATAATATATCAGTGTTGTATTTACAGGCAGTTGTGCTGCACAGAAGTGGCCAAAACAACTGGAGAGAAATATATCAAAATCAAAATAACTCCAGGAAAGGCTTTTACTGTCAGTGTGGGGTATATATCCACACAACATTTACTGTTTCACCATAATTGTCGTTGTCCAAATGTAGGTGTGCCAGAAGACAGGGGAGATCTCATTGTTGAAGCAGCAGCTGAGAGACTGCCAGGCAGACGTCAGCCACAAGCTAAATGAGATCGTCAGCCTCAGGGCGTCACTGAAGGAAAACACAGCAAAGATGGAGATGCTCCAGACACAGAATAAAGACCATGAGGACAAACTCCACTCCCGCACCATAGATGTTGAGGTTAGTCACATGATTTAATGGCAGTTCATTCCACAATGGTGTTCAAATAATGACGTGTGAATAAAATGCCCACACTGTGCACTGTTTAAGATGAAAGCACTTCTAGTTGGGAAGGATACCTGCTATTATGTGCTACACTCCACTGGGACCTTCAGACTGTTTTCAATGTCTAGGTTTTAGCAGATTTAAAATCACAGATAAGACATATTTAAAGTATTTGACACTTCACATGATTAGACCTGTTATATCAGTCAAAATAGTTTTCTTATTGCTGCCTGTGTCTGAATTCTTTCCATTTTTAATTCAGGTGTGCCAAAATGAACTCCAGCGCAAGAAGAATGAGGCTGATTTGCTGAGAGAGAAAGTGGGCAAACTGGAGACAGACATTCAGGGAATGAAACAAGATCTGGCTATGGCCAAAGAGCAGAGGCTGCAGCACAGTTTGCAACTTGAAGACCATGCCCAGACTCAGGCCTTGGACAGACTAATCCAAGGCTCAGACCCCCCGGCCCTGGGCCAAGGGGAGGAGAACAGTGGACTCGTCTCCACAGAATCACTCCAGAAGGAAGTGGAGAGACTGAAGCGGCAGCTCAGGGAGGAGAAGGATGCACAAGAGAGGCTGGCCAACAGCTTTGAACAGGAGAAGCAAACATGGAACAAAGAGAAAGACAGGGTCATCAAGTACCAGAAGCAGCTCCAGATCAACTACCTACAGATGCACAAGAAGAACCAGGACCTGGAGAGGATCCTGAAGGAGCTGACCGCTGAACTGGAGAGCCGTACAGAGCTTGGCATGGACCTCAACTACAGCTCAGGGTTACAAACGTATGACGACGTTATTGCCACAGAGATTTGATATGAGCATTCACACACATTCAGTAAAAGTGAACTGGGCGCTTGACTGTTTTTCACTACAGATATTTATGATGTTATAACACCTGGAGATCATTCACTGCTGTTTTACGAGGGTTATTTAATAGAATGTGCATAATATAGTGTAATTTGTGTCCAGGTCACAAAAAGCAATAAAATAAAAAATAGCTTTTTTTTTGTCATGACACTGTTAGTACTTGTTTAAAAGTAAATACTAATAATAAGTTATTTAATGTTCAAATGAGAATATTTTTTATTTTTTTACCATGCTGTCTAACAGGATCACTCATTATTCAAATCATGTATACTTTTGTAGTTTTAGCACCATTTACTAGTTGTTAATTGATGCAGGCCAGACAATAGCTGATTTATCGCTTTCATGATTAATGTCTGATGGTGACATGTGATAAGCATGATCGTGGCTTAACATCTGTCCCTTCCAGTGTGAACCCTGACATCATCTATTGTGAGTGTGGGTTTCTGAACCTTAATTTACTTTGCCTTGTGTATCCACGTTACTGTTACTGTATGCACCCACACTGTCCATTCTTAAGAGGTTTGTGCATGGAAAATAGTTTTAAACCTTTTCATGAGTAGTTTGAAATATACACAGGTCTTATGATGTGAATCTGTGTTACATCCACACCTCAAAATACACGTTAAAATCATTTTAAGCTGCCATGAATTTTGTTTAAATGCAATTCAACAGTGAAAATTGAAGTCAATACGCAAACAGGCATTAATTCTTTTATTATATCATCTGCATGTTTGTCATTCTCTAGACATTGTAAAATTCGACCTTTCTGTTACTAAAAATGTGTCATTGATCAGTTAATTGATCTTGCAAGGAAGGCAGTTTATTTACATATGTCAATTCAGGAAAGTCCTAATATCACTCATACAGTAACCATCAATATACTTGTAGTAATTGTCAGGCTGACTGTGTTGATGAGATCCTATGGTTGTAATCTAAATGTCTAATTTAATTTTCTATGGGTCCGTCTACAAACCTGATCAGAGATTATGAACACTGTGCACGAAACCTGGACTTTTTAAAGCAAACCTTATTCCTGAGCCATGCAGAGAATGGAACATTTAGTACACTATCAATATGTCATGTTAATTCCTGATACAGAAATGCACAAAATATAGTATATAGTAGAGAACACATCTGACAGATAGCAAGGGCAAATGCAAATTTTGGGATTCACTTTGTGTTCTGTGTGTGTTTAGAGAGAGGGGAATAGATTAAAGGGGGCTGGATAGAATACAATAAAAGCAAATATTTTAAGAGAAAAACAATGGAGAAAAAAGGTGATCTCCCAGTAATGTCTATCTCTCTCCCTACATTGTTCATCTAACTTCGTGAGAGTTAGCTGGCACTGCTCCACTTGGAGACAAACAATCCTTCCTAGCAGCAGACCTGGCCATTTGGCTCTACTATTTTGGAGCTATTCCACTTCCCACAAGGGCAAGTAGTTTGTGAAGCAAAAGTTTAACTACACCACCCACTCAAAACTCAGGGGCTCACATAGACAGATCAGGCAGAAATATACTGTATGCACACACTGTGCCGGTCAGGAATGTGTGGCAATCTCTGTAATGAGGCTGCTTGAGATTACATAGCTACCCACCATTACATTACATTACCACAGCAGGTCAGGAGAGATTCGGAGGCAGACAGACTAAGTGGAACTCCGAGGTGAGGAGCTGTAACCAGTGGCACTCATACTTAAGTGAGTGATAAGTGTTTCACAGCCCTTACTCTGGGAGCACAGAAAAGCGGTCAAATAGGGATATAGCAAAAGGACAGTTGATACTGCAGCTATGGTACTGGTGAATTTAATCTACAAAATCAAACATAGAGCAAATTGCACACCTTGGGCCAAAAAAGTCTCAATGAAACAGGCTGAGATTGGAAACAAGTACCAACAAACAACTTACGGTGCAAATAGTTGATTTAAAAAGCAGCAAATGTTTGTCATTTGTGCATCAGTAGTCATTCTATCACCTTTGCTAATTTCCTTTTTTTTTCTGTATAATGAAACTCTGATTATCTGAAAAGTGAATTTTACATCTATTTCAGCAAACAGGCGTGTTCACTGAGGCTCTTTTTGCCAGAGGAAGATGGCAAGTAGATTTATCCGGGCTCAAACATCAGGAAACATCTCATTGGACTGATTGCATTATGTTGTCCTTTAATGCATTTCATGTTAAAAGGTACATGGATAAATACTTTGGTGCGTACACACGTTTATTACATAACTTCACAAGGAAATGCTACAAATAAATATGAATGCTGTTTATATATATTCAAAGCTGTCAACTGCACTCTTTGTCAATCCCTCATTATTATTCTCCATTCCTCTTGGACTTAAATAATGAGAAGATTGTTTTCCTCTCCCGTCTAATCATCTAATTTTGGTCTTTATAGTGTTTCCTTCCTCAAGCAGAAGCTCTTTCTAGATCAGCTTCTGTCATAACTAAGCTGATTGGACCAAATCAAAACTGAAATCAAATTAAGGCCCATTGTCAATGCGCGTGGCTCCGTCACTGACATGAAAGAAGACCACACAGAGAAGAGATAAGAAGAAAGTCGATGGTTTGACATGAAAGAAAATAACAGCTGGGTGGGTGAGGGGATTTCTTGCTCAAAATAAGCACATAAGAAACATCACCTACAATTACATGTATGTAATAAACATGTTTCTGCAATATTCTTGTGTGCTTTATGCTGTATAGCCATTTCAAATGTACTTCAACTGCAGAGTAGGTTTTAATGGCACATAGTGACAATTACAAGTATTAAATTCTAGCTTTCAATATATATTTTTTCATAAAATCTAATGTTTTCAATCGTGGCATGTGGTAGAAGTAGTAGCAGTAGTATGTCTTTGAATGGGCACAGCTGAACATACAGAGTTTTGGTCCGGCAGATGTCTTGGGGTGATTGGACAGCAGTTAGGCAGCCGTCAGAAGACACTGGGTGATAATTTAGCCCTGCCCTGCAGTGACATGATAATAATGCACTCATATCCTGCTGTGATTCTCCTGAATGGCTGACAGTCAAGCACAAAAGAGCCTGAATTCATTAGTAATGGTGAGGCACATTTGCAAACCTGTTCGACATACAAAAATTGTTCCCTGCTTACATGTTCATGGCAAACAAATTTAATAAATTCACAATTTGATCTATTCTGGGGGAAAAAAATATTGTACTCCTGAGTTTGCACTTCATTTCATGGCTCAACCCTCACCTCTAACATTATAATAAATATTCCACAAAGGTAAATAATAGATGAGTCAATAACACTGTATCAGTTCCTACCTTGCCCTCATTACTCATTACACTCTCACATACTCAAATGTGCTATATCCCAACCATACCCCTAAGCAATTAGTTGCTCTAAAATATCAGGGGGCTAGTTATTCAGGCATGTATTTCATATTTTTATTGGTTTATTCGGAGCCCTGCATGCAGACCAGGCTACAGCAAACACAGCCTCAGCAAATCCCCAAGCTCGTCCAGTCAGCAAAGTAATTGGGGAGGGAGTCCCAAAGGGTCCTTGCACACTGCTGAACCCTTTGCTGCAGACAAGTTGAAATGGCAATGGCGGTAACTAGGCGTTAGTGTGAGTGTGCAAGAGTGTGTGCGTGGAGGATGTAAGTACAGGAGGTGGCCTGAATACTTTGTGTGAATAGGCCCGCAGTCTATAGAGACTAGATGGTTGGCTGGGAAACCATCTGGTTCCCCAGCCCCCCAGCTGCATCACCCATGGTTCCCCATTTCTATGGGGATGTAAAATTCTGCTCATGGGGGGGCTGTACGGATGCCAATTTAAGCCCCCACTGCTCAAAATTAGTTAATTAACTCTATCTCTCACACAGAGAAAATTTTCCTTTGTAAGTAATTCTAGCATTCATCACAACCCAACTGTTTTATTTTAAAGCTTTGCCAACTATGAGCTTGTGAAATTAGCAGGAACAGTTGAATGTGGGATAAAAAGCTCCATAAGTGAATCCTTAAGCACCAATACAGAAAATGGGCTCAAGCTAATTACAGAATTTGAAGCCAGATTTAAACATACACCTCAGACATACAGATCAAATTCATTTTTCTTAAACATAAATTAATTGATTTTTCCAAATCAGTCTAGCTCACAAATTCATGGAATATGCTTATCGGATTCCCAGTTACTGTCAGAGCTGTCTGCCATGAGGGAGAAGATGTCAGAGTGTGTGTGTGTTATCAAAACAAACTAAGCATATAATGAGATCTACTCATATATACAATCATCAAATAATTCCATGAAGCCATATATATACAAAAAATATGCCACGGGGCTTTAATTCACAACAATCAGGCCTGTCAATCTTGTACACTAACTCTGTGCACTGAAACAAAGTGATCATATCCTGAGGTGATGATAAAACGAAGGTGGGTTGCACTGCTTCCATTTAGCTGAAAGAGAAAAATAAAAATAAGTAGTTGTTTTAACTGTGAATTCCAGCATTGATATGTTTTATTGTATATAATTACATTTTCATTTTAACTTACCGAAACAACATTTGACTGAAGATGTCCCTCTGTATGTTCAAATTCTGTAAAACAATCATCTTATTAATCCTAAATTCAGTTCTTTGGCATTTAAACCAAATGTGCAAACAGATAATGTAGATGGATGCCCCCCCCCTTACCTTTCTCTGTAACAGACTCAAATTGAGAGGCATTTTGTGAAGTATTCTTGTCTATCTTTAGATGCTTGACTGCAAAAGAAAAAACACAACCAGATGTCTATAAATATATGGTTTGTGAGAAACTATGACAAACTGTGAACATTTCAGTCTATCGCTTATGCCGAGGACCAATTATTTTGTCAATGAGCATGTTAAATGTGTTAAAATGTGTTAAAATTACATTTTTTGAAATGTGAGGTAATAAAATAAAGGTACAACAGGAGAAGCAGACAGGAGCACCAGCACAGAAGCTAAGCAATGCATGACTGTGGGTGGGGGCAGCAACAGAGGGATTTTAGCCCCCTAAAAAAATCTCAGTTTAAGTGTATGCAATATAATATCACTGCTTGAATTTGAAGCTACACTGACTGATGTGTATGTATGTAACTTTGGGTTCCAGGTTGGGACAAGTCACAAGCAGGTAATGCTTTACGGCAGAGAGTCAAACATCACCAGCTATGTCAGTGATTCTGGTGAAACTGATCATATTGTACGGAGAAATTGATGACAAAGGTGATCTCATGTGAACTGTGCTAATATTAAAAAAGACACACAGTTATCAGTGCCAGAGGAGTTACCTGTTAAACAAACACCTGCATTATAGTGACGAGCAGATCGCAGTTAAAACCGCGGGCACTGAGGTCGATCTGACGTGCTGGGTTATTAAAATTAGAATAACATTGTGATTAATAGCGGGCAGCTTCACAGTTGTTTAAATCCCCTAACACACTAACAGTATCTGATGTTAATTAATGTTCTGTGATACCTGACACTTCCAAAAGTTCCCGCACACAGTCCAGGTTCGTAAAGGGAAACTGGAGTAAAACAGCAGTCCTCCTAATTAATCCTCTGTTTCCTCTGGTAAGTTTATGTCCTGTCAACTTTACAGTTTTTAAGTTTTGCTGCTTAATGATATTTGCTGCAGTGCACGCATGGAAACATTTTAAATGACTGAAAGCATCCTTTCTAATTATTAAAGTAAATTAACACATCGATCCTTCACACATCGAGGGTGAAGCTTCAGTGACAGACTGCTTCACCCTCGATGTGTGAAGGAAAGATACAAATACTGCTGCTGTTAGGCTCCACAACGAACAAGAACACTCTTAATCATGGGTGCAATAGTATTACAAAAAAACTTCAAAAACACAGTTTGACAGCAGGTCAGTGCAATGCCTATTCTTTTTTCATTATTTATCTTTTATAAGCTACTTTCCTTGTTGGCTCGTTAGTGTTACCTCATCCTTTTTCTGTATGCTGCTGCAAACTTGCCAATTTTTCCCCAATTGTGGGGGACAAATAAAAGGTTTTCTTATCTTATCTTATCTTAAGAAAAAATAAGAAAAACATAGGGCTACATCAATAAAACACAGAATAATTAAATATAAAGCCTTGCACTGCTCGGACAGAAGAGGCACAGGAATCATTTGCTACTGGCCAGAAGGTGTTTATACGTTAAGTTGCTTCATACGCGGCCCCACCTGCATTTATTGTAATTGTGGTTTGCTAAATGTTCATTATGAATAACCAGAATATGACAGTGGTGTCTTCTGCAACATTTGGGAATATTTATTTAGGGGGCGGGGGCGGCGCGGGCGGGGGGGGGCGCCTAAATGGTTTTCAGGGAAAACTTAAAATGATGTACTCATATCAAACCCTGACTCAGGAATTATCAGCCCTCATGTGACTGGAATGGAAATGATGATAAATGATTAAAAGTATTTCTTGCTGACAGACAGACTCTCTACTGTCTTCTGACTGTTGATCATCTCAGAGATCCTCTTTCGCTACTTGGTTGCAGAAATAAAGAGCTTTGGGACGGCCTGTAAAATGGGCGAACCCAGAACAACTTTCCCATTCAAGCGAGGAAGTGAGGAAATGTCATAGAAGAGATTTGGGATGCTACACTTAGATTCTTTGGTGCTGCTCTCTTCATGCGCCTGAACAGTTTTATACACTTCTTCGTTCTTGGTTAACCAAAAACTGTGGTTTTTAATAGCCCAACCTTTTTCTATTCATTTCAGGATTTTAGGTACTGTAGCGGGGGAGCAAGCACCCTGGACGGTATTGTGCTTTTATTTTGACCATTATGGGTCTGGACATAACTTTATTGCTATGCTATCTGGTATTTGTATTTTAAGGCATTGCTGCTATTGTTTCTTTGTATAATTTAATTTGTGGTGTTATTGTTTCTTAGCTGGCTGTGTAGTTGGATAGTACTGGGCGTTCACTCACTTTTGAAAGGTTGGCCATGCGTTTTGTGGGTGGCACGTTTTTATTAGGGGGGTGGTGTTTTTACTTAGGAATTGCATTGGGTGTTTTTTGCAATTTCATCAAGGCTGGAAATACTTCCCAGAGCACCAATTCAGGTGGGTGGTTGGGGCTTCCCAGCTGTGACTCT